GTGTGTGTATAGAATGAATGCAGAGTGTGTGTTTGTGTGTGTATATATAATGAATGCAGTGTGTGTGTTTGTGCAGTGTGTGTAAACTGGATGAGGGGAGGGCATTTTTATTTGAATTTTTTTATTTTATTATATTATTTTAATATTATTATATTATATTATTATTATTATTATTTTAATATTATATTATTTTAATAATATTATTATTATTTTAATATTTGCATTATTGTCCCCCCTCCCTGCTTGTTGCCTGGTCAGGGAGGGGGGACATTTTTTTTTTAAATAATGCAAATATTAAAATAATAATAATATAATAATATTAAAATAATATAATTTTAAAATAATAATATTATTTTATTATTATATTATTATTATTTTAATATTTGCATTATTTTTTTAAAAATGTTTTTTGTCCCCCCTCCCTGGCCAGGCAACAAGCAGGGAGGGGGGACAAAAAACCATTTAAAAAAAATAATGCAAATATTAAAATAATAATAATATAATAATAAAATAATATAATATTAAAATAATTATATTATTTTATTATTATATTATTATTATTTTAATATTTGCATTAATTTTTAAAAAATGTTTTTGTCCCACCTCCCTGGCCAGGCAACAAGCAGGGAGGGGGGGACAAAAAAAATAAAAAAAATAATGCAAATATTAAAACAATATATATTAATATTATTTTAATAATATTATTTTATTATTATTAAAATAATATTAAATCGCTGGTGGTCCAGTGGCATTGGCAGTTCAGTGGGCGGGGCTGACAGCGAGGTGTTACTTACCTTCCTGCAGCTCCTGTCAGCTCCCTCCTCCTCCGTGCAGCTCCTCGGTCAGCTCTGTTCTGTTTACAGTGTAAGTCTTGCGAGACCCGCGGCTCTCGCGAGATTTACACTGTGAGCAGAACGGAGCTGACTGGGGAGCTGCACGGAGGAGGAGGGAGCTGACAGGAGCTGCAGGAAGGTAAGTAACACTTCGCTGTCAGCCCCCAACAGGACCGCCGGGCTTGTAATGAGCCCGGCGGTCCTGGTCTGTATTGTGGCAATGTAAATTGCCACAATACAGACATTGACTCGAGTATAAGCCTTGTTGGGGTTTTTCAGCACAAAGAATGTGCTGAAAAACTCGTCTTATACTCGAGTATATACGGTAATTTGTATATATTTGTTGACTGTATTAAATCTTTGATTATTCATTTTTGCCCTCTTTATTTACAGGCCTACCGTATCCTCTGTCTCGGCATACCACAACCGACTTGCTCCCTTTAAACTATCCTACACTTATGCTGGAACCTTACTCCATATACGGCTATTTGCCCCTTACACAAGTATTAAGGCCATTTGGCCTGTATTTGTGGGAGGGGCTTAAATTAATTCACTCCCCTATATATGGAGTCAGGTAAAATCTGAGGATTTTACCTGACTCCATATCGCTTGAGGTCAGCATCAGAATGACCCTTCCACCCACTCCTCATTTAAACACTTTCTCTTTTCTTTCCATTTAATTTACTTTCTTACTCCTTGGTGGGCCCTCTTTATTTACAGGCCTACCGTATCGTCGGACTCGGCACACCACAACCGACTTTCTCCCTTTATACTATCCTAGGCTTATGCTGGAACCTTACTCCATATACGGCTATTTGCCCCTTACACAAATATAAATATAAAAATACACTTAGTATGACATTATATATATGATGTATATACATATATTATATATAGATATAATACATGTATATATATATCTTATATATACACACATATATTATTTATTTATTTACACTGATTGATTTTTTAAAACTTTTTTTTTATTTTGCAGATGCAGGGAGACTGTCTGTCAGCACAGACAGTCGCCCTGCAGGCAGATACATAGGCACCTATTGCGGCCACGTGATCGAGTGATCACGTGGCCGCGGGGTCCTGATCTGCCGAGGGGAGACTGCCAGGGCAGACAGGCAGTCCCCCTGGACAGAGAGGAGTGCTGATCACCCCCGGGGGACGGACGGAGGTCAGGTAAGTACCCCCAGACTGTCATGACGGTTCAGGACCGTCATCGATCGTCAAGAGGTTAATAAATGTTCAGCAGAAATTCTGGTGTTCTGTGTTTCCTTCACTTCCCCCAGAGTTTTCTAGCTTGGGCATTGCCCTAGAGTAGTGCTGCTATGGCCTTGGCCGGGAAAACTGAAAATTGTTTCATACTTACCAATATTTTCCTTTCCCGGTAATGGGCCATGACAGCATTACTCACCTGTCCTGGCCAATGTGAGTGATGGGTGGAGCTAACACAGTAGTAGTGCTGACATGGCCCATGACCAGGAAAGGAAAATATTAATAAGTTTGAAACAATTTTCTATTATATAAACAGAGTGGGTCAATAACATTTTTATTAATTAACCAGTTTCAATGATATTACATGCAATTAATGCTTAATGTAGAAGATTTGTTCGACTAAGTACTGAAGATGCTGTTACAATAGATTAATTTAACCCCTTAAGGACACACAATGGAAATATTCCGTCATGATTCCCTTTTATTCCAGAAGTTGTGTCCTTAAGGGGTTAATTAATACACTTTAACTTAATTTGTATCATTTATGAATATTGGTCACTATGGCATTTTTTGAGTGTGCCCCCAATCCTTTTTGTCTTTGCTATGCAAGTTTGGAATCCAGACCATATTACTTTTCGGGTTAAGCACCCCTCCCAAGCCCCCAGCTTCAGAAGCCCATTTGGAGGTGACCACAGGGGTGTATCTATGAGGAGTTTTTGGATAGGAATTACACTTTTATTATAATCGTTATTTAGTACATATTGAGTTGCGTTGTGAGTAAATTCATCCAAGCACTTTGTTTAGTTTTGACACAGTTTTTAATCGCTTTTATCACATTAATTTTGTATACTCACAATGCTCTTACAATAGATTCATACACTTTAGCTTATTTAGCATTATTTGATTTGTCTCCCACACTTGGATTTAGTGTAGGACCCACCCATATTGGGGTACTGTGAAATAGTGGTGGGCTTAACACAATATGGCCATATGGTGGAACCGAATCTCCATATTTTGTCTTCTTGTAAATTAAGTAGCCTTATAATATTATTAGTGTATTTTTATGTGTGAGCCGTAATTTAATTTGTATCATGTATGAATATTGGTCACTACAGCAGCACCGTGTAGAATGCATTTTTCTGGTGTGCCCCCAATCCTTTTTGTCTTTGTTAAGTACTGAAGATGACATCTTTAAAAGGAGCTTAATTTGCCACCTCACAAAGTTGAGCTCTTACACTTGCATAACATTAGCTAATGTTTGAGGCTTTGGCACTCAAATGTTTGCACAGGTATTCTCCTTGAGTTGCTCAAGTGTATACTGTTTGTTCACATACACCCGCTCCTTCAGATATCCCCAAAGGAAGTAATCTGATTATCAAACAGCTGTCTCAGGAGGTCCATTGTGGGCATGGCTGCATGGGCAGTAGCCTCATCCTGTTGAAACCACATTTCAGGACAATTTTCCACTACAGGACGTAAAACATTTACAATCATATTAAGCAATATATGGATGCTTTTTGACATACTCGTCACTAACTGTTTGTTTAATATTTCCCATTGAGGGATTGCTATTTCCTTTAACTGTGCATATACTTACCTTATATTCTGTTTCTGGAGGCCTCCTGTTTGTTTTTAACTATTAGAAATAAGATAATAACTATTTAAGCTGCTCTTGATCAAACCACTCACAGTATACTTTTGCACCACTTAGAATAGATGATTTACATGTTGCTAAGCAATGATCAACTTTATATATTTGTTTAAAATGATTGTTTACACCATGAAGTGTGTAAGTATATTGCCTGATAGACTATAGTATTCAAATCTGAGGATTTTTCACATGTATTTAAGAGATTGATGCTGCAGGAGCTAGGGGAACTTGGCACCTCTGTTGGATTTCACTTAGATTGGCGAATGGGCACCCTTAGTGCCATGAGGGTTACAACTGCTAGTTTTGAGAAATCTGAAATAGGCTGTTATATTTGGTATAGTTTTATTGGATTGGAAATAAATTACAAAACAAGATCCTGCATGATTTTTACTTAGTATGAACACAGCATGCATAATGCTGACAGACACGACATTCTGACAAGTGAACATTGAATAAAAATAGAGAATGCTTGTTATTACATTGTAACTATCAAAGTCAATGTATCCGGTGACATTGCATTCAAACCAGTAACCATTTTCTTTTCTGAAGCAAAGAAACAGATTTATTTTATAAGAAAAAAAGAATTGTATTTTTCCAGAACATTCTTTTTCATATTTATTTATAAACCACTGCATTCGATCCACTTTCAGTAAAATTTTATTAAATGGGAGTTTTGCTCCATAACTAATGGGCTCAGAGGATCAATGGAGCATATTATAGGTAATAAAAAAATAATGATAATAAGTATCTGTCACATCTCCTACATAGAAAACAGTTAGGCCATGAGAATGCACGGCTTGGTACATAAGTGCAGCTATTACTGCTACAATTTGCTAATATATATATAGTCCATTGAGACATAATAAAACCTGGAAGTGTATATCATGCCTTGACTTAAAAAATGGACGTAAATGCAATGTCATCCATTTGGTGATGGTATTCAAATATATTTTCCCTCACCAAATCAGGAGTGTTATTTTGTTAAATCAAGCTTTTTCTTGTTAACACGGCTCTGTCACCTAAAATATCTCTTATATAAATCAATTTTAAAAGATTGTTAACATAATATCTACTCGAGGGTATGACATTATGACAGTGTGGAGGCAGCCATTTTGGAATGTTTTTAAATCCTCAGTGACTGCAACTTGAGGAGTGACAGCACTTATTTCAGATCCAAATCATCCTTTTTTTTGTTCTTCATTCTTTTAGGGAAAAAAAATCAAAACTGTATGATGTGTATGATCAAAACAAAAATACTGGGGCTTCCTCAGGTTGAGGATCATGTATTAAGCCAATATTTAGGTGTCACACGGCACTCCTATTTCAGGAAAAATGAAGGATATCAGCAAAGAACCTGCTGGTAAATAGTGGTATTCAACTGCCACATGCATACATAGAGCTGACCGAAAGTTCTCAGACATTAAACCTAAAAAATGCATTCAATATGTGATTGTATGGAAATTTATCTTTTCTGAAGGACAAATGAATCACTTAAAAGTGCTAAATATACAATTTTTAAACCTATGTGGATGAGCACATTTAAAAGAATGTACACAGAGGCCATTAATCCCATAACAACTGGTCACACTAGATATATAAATGGACATTTTCTCACTAAAGTTACAAAGTCTTTCAAAATAGCAGGCTTAGTAACCCCTATGGTGCCCAGGCAGACAGCTGGCAGAAATGGTTCAAAGTGGAATGAGCACTTCTCATTGTTACTGTGTCCCGATGCTTATTTCTGAAACGCATACGAATGAGCAATGATAACTTCACAGGAGGAGCGAAGTTGGAATAAAGGTGAGTTCAACTAATTTTAACCATTTTAGAGCTGAAATTGGGACAGTAATCTAGAGTTCAAGGACAATTCCAATTAAAAATATATGTGTATTTAATTAGAATGTTCCTATACGAAAACATGTAGACTAGTGGAGTAGCCTGTCCCCTAGACTGCAGCTTGTAGATCCTTTACATCCATTCTAAAAATGACAAAATTTCTAAGGTGCCAACAATGATAAAATCAACGGGTTTCTATCTCTTTCCACACTGATGTGATAACATTGTGTTGGACATCAAGCAGATTGTACTATAGTCCCGTTTAAAAGTTGGATTAGTCGCAGGGTTTACGAGGTGCGCATGTCCACTATCTCATATATGTGTGTGAATGTATCACAATATCCCACAGTAATATAACGCACTATTAACTGCTTTGTCCTTAATAAGGTATTAAGCTATTAAGATCCTTAAAACATGTTATAGTTTTCAGATCCAGCTACAGCTCTTGCCATTGACCCTGAAAATATGTTACTCTTCGTAAAGTGGATACGTTGGGAAGCATATCAATAACAGTGACTGGTAAGAGACTGCTGAGAACAAGTATTGGCAGCAGCAAAACAGAGCTTGGGATTTTGTGAGTTGAATTGATTAGCTCTCACCATTCATTTGTGCAGGAGATAGGTAATACTTAATTTAACTGCATGACCCTGGTGTTCGGGTTAGCCATTCATAAGTCCAGGTTAACTAGAAATTCTTTATTCTGTTGTAATTATTATAACCACTGAACAAAATATAAATAAAGAAATCTGCATGACGGTGCAATGAATGATCTGATAACAGAACCAGTTTAACGCATTGAAAGCATTAAGGTAGGTTGCCCAGAATGCAATTAGTTAAATGACTAACATTACATGTTTAAATATGGTGTTTGAAATACTTTATTTATTAATACAAAATAATATTACATGTAATTTTAAATAAATACGATTAGACATAATTTAAAAGCAAACAGTTGCTACAGATCGTGCTAATGTTTTAACATTCCTGACTCAATACATGTATAGAGGTATAGCACCCATGGTATCATATACTGCATAGGGCAGGGGTTGGCAGCCTTTGGCACTCCAGATATTACAGACTACATCTCCCATAGTGCTCTTATGCTAGGATGCTGGCAAAGCACCAGGGGACATGTAGTCCACAACATCTGGAGGGCCAAAGGTTCCCAACCCCTTGCTGAGAGTATATGTAAGTAGATGGCAAGTATAAACATGGTAACACTTTGTGGTTTTTTTTGTTTGTTTTTAAGGCATATCATTGTTAAAGAACATATATCCAAAATTTAGTATTTACCACGTCATTCCATACTGTTATCACAATATACATTTTAAAGATTCTATGACATCATGGACCTTACTTTATATCAATTGTTCAAAGAGATCTGAGAACAATTACCATACATTCCATGCTGAAGTGGATTCTATAACATGTAGATTAAATGTCATGGGATTTTGTAGATTCTTATGCAAATGCAGTAATAGATGTGTTCCTGACACTTGTAGAAGCAGTTTGGAGGTTCTTCAGACAACAGGATGAAGTGAAATTGTTAATACTTTTCCAAAATAATGTTTACTTAGATACACTCATATTTATAAATCAACGTTGAGGCAAATGCTATATATTCCTGTAATGCATTTGCTCTTTACACACACCAGTTAAGTAGATATAACTAGGCAAGCTTGAGAAATGCAGAACATTCATATATTTACATCTTGTATATTGTTATCATAGATTTTAGGTGCTCATCTCCAATCCTCTGTCCATCCCAGCATCGACACAGGCAAATGGGCAATGTGTTAAATGGTCACTGATAGTATGAAAGGTAAGTTTGGGATTAGATACAATGGGTATAAGGAGGTAGGATCAGGTTTGGTATTAGATAGAATGGGTACGAGTGGGTAGGAGTCGGTTTGAGGTTAGATAGAATGGGTACGAGTGGGTAGGAGTCGGTTTGAGTTTAGATAGAATGGGCACGAGTGGGTAGGAGTCGGTTTGAGGTTAGATAGAATGGGTACGAGTGGGTAGGAGTCGGTTTGAGGTTAGATAGAATGGGTACGAGTGGGTGGTAGTTGGTCTGAGGTTAGGTAGAATGGGTACGAGTGGGTAGAGCCAGTTTGAGATTACATAGAATGGGTACGAGTGGGTAGGAGTCGGTTTGAGGTTAGATAGAATGGGTACGAGTGGGTAGGAGTCGGTTTGAGGTTAGATAGAATGGGTACGAGTGGCTAGGAGCCGGTCTGAGATTAGATAAAATGGGTATGAGTGGGTAGGAGCCGGTCTGAGATTAGATAGAATGGGTACGAGTGGGTGGTAGTTGGTCTGAGGTTAGGTAGAATGGGTACGAGTTAGGGATCGACTGATTATAGGTCTGGACGATATTATCGGCCAATATTCTCTATTTTCAGCAAAATTGGTATCGGCCAATAAAAATACAGATATTGCCGATAATGCAGACCAGGGCCGCCATCAGGGTCCTGGGGGGGAGAGGGGGAGGGCAGCACACGCATACTTACCATCCCAGCAACTCCCTTCAGCTTCCCCCCTCTAACTCTCGCTGGTTTGAGGTTAGATAGAATAGGTACGAGTGGGTAGGAGCAGGTCTGAGATTAGATAGAATGTGTACGAGTGGTTTCTGAAAATGACACTGCAGCTTTGCAGTTTCATGTACAAGAAACAAACAACCATTTTATAAACTATCTTGGCAATGGTTTTGCCTTCACAAACAAAATTAAATAACAACAAAAGTGGGCATGCATAAGCATCAATTTTTTTTTATATTTCATTTACAAATCTGTTTTCTGACTTTATATTTAGCCCAGGTCAGAAATCAGCTTAATCAGATGGTGCAATCAAATTTCTGCTCTATGGAGCTGACACTTGCAATATGTGGACTATAGAAATGATTATTAATTCCTCCCAGTGCCAATGTAATGTACTGCTCGCTCCCAGACCTAGAACACAGAAGGAGTACTTGCAAATGGTAGGTGCATTGCTTCCTATGATATAGATTAACCTCATTTGTTAATATATATTTTTGGTGATATCTTTAATTTTTTTAGCATACGAGACCCATCATATTGTACATATTAAACTGCTGTTGCAGACCTATTTTCTCATTTAAACTACAGATCAAAGACACCTGATTTAATCAAACATTATCGTGCATATTCTGTTTTTCCGATTTCCAAATAATATCTTATTTTTTCTTTTTTGCTGTCATTGGCAGCTGAGAAATGTCACATTTACACGAAGTCTTAATAGAAAGATATGAATACTTTTAATCAAATTAGTTTTAATTAATTGCTAGCAAAGATTCCCAGTGGTAATGCTGACATTTATTAAATACACACTTTAGTAGCGGTAATCTAACTTTCGCGATTCAAGTGGCTTGAGATTCGACACATTGGTGTAAATCCACTGTCATAGATAAATAAATGAAAACTTAAGAATATGTAGTTTAACATAATATCTTGAGAAATGATATTTCCTCACTGATAAAATAAGCTGAGCCTCATAGCTTAAGGTAATGGAGACATAGGGATATGCGTTATATCAGATATTTAGTAGGACCTTTATTAGTTTGACCATATCTATATATCTCCTTGCTGTTTCAGTCTAACTCTTTCCCTACTGAGTTGCTGTCAGATATGAAGTGTAATATTTATTTTATGAGAGGGATGCAAATTCTGTATATATATTAAGCATCGTAGTTGCCTAATTTTTTTTTAATGAAGTTTTCAATTATCTGGTGATCATTTTAAGAATACCGAAGTGATGATGAATTGATAGACATGTGCTAGCATTTTTTAAATTGGAGAATGCAAACATAATGACTTTATGGGACATCATACCCCCATACAATAAACACAGTTACCCGATGAGTGAGGTTTATTGTAATAAAATTGTATTTCGCACTACAAATGAAACTGAAAACAAATTATATGTATACACATTGCTGGTGGGTAAAGGGTCCTTCCACCCTATGAGTAGTTTCCAAATATCAATGCATGCTATGGAGGTATGGGTAATTGTAAGATTCTTGCACTAGTTGACCTGCAGATGGGACATCATTAGTCCTGTGGCAGCACTGACCAGTGAGGTCACCTCTGATCTAGAATCTAGAAGACTTATTTCTCATTATTCAATGGGAACAAATGCTTAGAATTATCTTGTGATGCCTTATAAAAAAAAGACAATGATACAGTGTGGACGTTCATTTCAGAAGTCTACACAAAATAAGGGACTTTGGAAATTGAGAGTGAACACAGGCCAAAGCACTCTAAATAGGTGAACACCATAATGCTTAGTATGAAAGTGTCACTGGCCAGCTACACAATAACAAAAGATATAAACTGGGAATTTGATAGCCAATAAGAGATACATCTTGAATGAAAACATAAACTGTTACACTTAAATTTACCTTGAGTGTTGCATGCAGGACATAAATGGCACAGCCATTCAGAAGTGAAAGATGGACATGTCTTGTGTGTACCAGTAGTCATCACAATAAGTACTCTGCTGAGTGAAGTAATGGTGTTGTCAGTTTCATCTTTTGGAGACTAATACGTCGTTTCCACAGAGCGGTACAGTTCGGTTCGGTACGCTATTTTGAGTGTTTCCATTATGTAAGTAGCCCATACAACAGAACCAAACCGCACCATTCCTGGGCCCCCTTCAAATGTAGGTTCATAGGAAATGGTATGGTACGGTTAGGGCGGAGCTACTGGCGTCA